TGTGTGTGTGTGTGTGTGTGTGTGTGACATATATGTGTAATATATCTATATATATATACATATTCCCTTTTTTTGCTTTACTTAAAAAACGAATTTCAGATAACTTTTATCTAAAGGCCTGGCACATCTTTTCTATTTTCCTCTTTTATTTAGAACTCACTAACTAACTAACTCACAATTAGCTGTCACAGTCAGGAACAAGGACAACTCCAAAAAAAAAAAAAAAAAAGTGAAAAAGCAGTAAAGGTCCAAAATAAAAAAAAAAGAAAGACGTTCAGAACATCCCATTCTCACTCTCAACTCGTCAACATATTGACGCTTGGTCAAGTAGCCTTTTGCGTCCAGTTTTGACGTGTCAGGTACCCCCCGCGCGTCAGTTTTTTTCGAGATGAGGCGGAGGAGGACGAGCGCATTGTCATATTTTTTAAGAGTTGGAAATGCATGAAACTAACCATCCCAGACCCAAAATTTAACTTCTATTAGCCTTATATGGTCTATCCCTGACCCCAGTACCTAAAATTAACCATTAACCCTGATCCCTCATATTAACCATTTTTGAAAATATAGAGAATGCGCGAGAACTAACCATCCCAGACCCTAAATTTAACCAAAAGTAGCCATACAGCCTATCCCCAACCTCAGGACCTAAAATTAACCATTAATCCTGATCCCTCGTATTAACATTAGACCCCCAACCAAAAGACCACTAAGTGGCGCAACCCGGAAAATCCGCGGGCGGCAAGGACTGACCCGTGGGGGGTACCCTACGTGTCAAAACTGGGAATGTGTTATTCAGAAAGCTCGAAACGCTATTTCAAAACTACTAAAATGATCACAAAAAAGTCTGACTTATTGGTAACAAAATGTAAATAAACTTGTGATTATAAGAGAACTAGAACCTTAAAGTGTTATAAATGTATTATATTTTTCCTAACATTTGATAAACATGGTAAGTTCAAAAATGTGCTTAAATATGTTGTAATTTAATTGAATAAAAAAATAAATAAAAATAAAACAGGCGCTACACATATACCAATCTATTTAATTGTTTATTTAACAATGCATGCCAGACATGATCCTATTCACATTGAAGAATACAGATTTGTATTTGCATCCAAATACTCACTACTTTAATTTCATATTATAATCTCTATCTTTCTCTCAGTCAACATCACAAAGTCATCTGTGTACACGCTGAGTGGAAGAACTGCATGCATTTAAAGGACATTAAATTAGGTGTGACCAGTAGTGGGATGCAGTAAGTCCCTTTTAGTTTATCAACGTTATTGCAGAAAAAACATGTGCGTAAAATTCTTCCTTTGTAGCTTACAAGTCACAAGCTTTCATAAGAAAGAAGCAAATCTGTTGATTATCGTTAAAACTCAAGATTGATAGAGCATAGGAAAATATTTAAAAAGTACTGTACACTGAGACTCTGCTGGGTTGTGTTGTCTTGGCATGCCTCCTTGTTATTAGTGTCATCTAAATGTCTGAGTTTGCACGCAAGTCAGTTGTACACACACTCACGCATTCACACCTCCTGCTCCACACCGGCCGTGTCGATATGTCGCACAGCCGTTTTACCGATTGTAGACGTTCCTACATGCCAAGGACACGTATACTTTCTGACACACCTTACTGAGGGGATAAACAAACTGTGGAGGGAAAGTTTCTTTTCATTTCTAAACAGGCCAAATGGGACGGCCTAAGAAAACACAGTCATTTGTTTTCATACTTTGCCATACAGAGAGCTTGAGTTGAACAGCTCAACCTTGGCTTGTTTCTGAAACCCTGTCTGTCGCGGCTTTGTAGACAATAGGTCGACAGAACATTCTGTTTCCATTTGGTTTGACAAAGTTTGGTTTGGTTCAGAATGTAAGCAGCAACTGTGCATGACCAAAGCCTGCCGCTATGAAAACACACACATCATCCATAAACATAAAAAACATTTTTCCCTTTTGTTTTTACTGTTGGCAATTGAAGCTCTAGCAGGTCAGCAAGTCGAGCCAATATGAAGACATTCATTCAAATGCTATTGCTATTTCTGAAGACATTAAACAAACAAAATATATAAATAAAGTCATCTAAAATCCCCCCCAAAATTCTGGGTTAGACTCGTAAAGCACAGTGATTATATTGAACGCTGTCAGGTTAAGACAAACTCATCCAACTCAGTTCCTTTTAAGAAAATCCCACCATGACTCTATAAAATACACCCTCTGTCTTGCATCACTGTGGGAATATTGTCCCTGAGCACTAACCTGGGATCAGCCTTTTTGTCTCCACAACGTAGCCCACACATTTTGGTAAAGAAGCAGTAAATCAGCTCTTTTGCATGCACAACAAGTTTACTCCCAATTCTGTCCAACCCACGTGACTGATGCTGACCGTGTTTCGACACTGAGAATCCTATGCCAGTGTGAAAAATAATAGGATAAAGTGGAAATTTAAAAACATTTTTTAACCAGAAGTGAGTGCCGATCAGGGTTTTCACAAATACCTTACGCAGCTGAAGACATTTAACACTCTGGGTGTTTAGATTGTACGACTGAGTTGTAACACAAGTGAGTCAGATCAAGCAATTCAAGTGAGACAGAAGAGTTTACTGTGACAACACCAGCCGTGTGGGGAAGCTGGGTCTCCTCATGTCTCAGTTTCACGTGCAAAAATGATATTTTTCTTCCTAATCTACGATGCTCAAGACATAATTAAAAACAGTAAAATCAGATTAATGTCTCGATGTGCAATGATACAGTCACGTAAAATATAACAATTCCTCCACTCTGTACATCAGATGAGAACAAGAACAGAGGTGTATGAAAAAAATAATCAGTTATAGTTGGCCTCTATGAATGAGAGAAACAACAGAAGACAAAAAACGTGAACTTTCACAGATACGTTCCCACATACTTCATCCATGCCCAAAAGGCACCCTAAAAGTTTGGTATTACTGGCAACTGTGGATTGCCAAATCAACAATAAAAAAAATTGTCATGTTGTTTGATAAAACACACAATAAAACTACTTTAAATACAACAAATATGATTGAAATGTACAGCATTTTAGACTACTCTGTTCAATAAATAATATACAGAATCATTTAGTGCATGTAGATGGTCATCTTTCATTATATTTAAAAGCTTAATTAGAAAATACTTATATTTTGACAAAAATATCACTGGAAACATATAAATATTAATTATATAATCCAAACAGGCATTTAATCATCAGCAATGAGCAAGAAAAAGTGTTAATAAATATAATTTTCATCTCAAAATAAATGCAACAAAATTAACCAGAATTGAAAAAGCAAGAATATATATATATATATATGTATATAAAATGGTAAATCAGTAAGTATTCTATTAATCTCATCTATAATATCATTACAAATCTAATGATAAAGACATCTTTCTTCACTCAAGACTTCTTCCATTAGAAATGAGAAAAAATAGGTTGATAAACTTATTTGGCTCTGATTTTTTTGACAATAAGTAATCCGATGTTTCTTCATTTACCATAAATCTTTTTTTTTAAATCTCACCTAGAATGCATATGCTTGACAGCTAATTCTCAAGCTTTTAAAAACTTTAATAAATAGTGCTTTTTAAAATTACCCTTTGTGACCTGTACATAATTTATTATTAGGGCAGTCATCTATCAACTACTTTCTCTTTAGTCTTGTTGCTGTGGTTTGCTTTGAGAATGAGAAAATAAAACAACATCATTGGAACAGAAAAAGGACGGATCTAAAAACTGGAAGTAAAACGTTGCAAATGAAAAAAGTTGCAAAAACCTAAAGGAAACTTCAAGAGAGCTAAAATGTAGTGAGTGGGAATTTCTTTTTTTGGTGTAAGGTTCAGGCAAAATAAATCCAACAAAACTTCACATCAGGTGCATTGGCCATGTAAAGGCTAACTCAAAGCTCACAGCACCCTCTTGTCCCCAGTATTTGCAATTGCACTTGTTATAGCTCTCTGAAGTCAGGCGTGAAAGTTTTGTGTGTAGCGAGTCTCAGCATACACACTGTATAACACAGACCAACTTTCATAAACTCTCATTCACCTGTTTGACTCATAACTCATGTATACAGACATTTGAGAAATGACTTCACTGAAATGTGTTTCTTTCCAACTGTATTGACAAAAAAAAAAGTTAGACCAAAAATTGAGTAAGTCAGACATTTCTTCTCTGGTGGTATGATACGTAAACAAAACAAACAAGATTTTCTTAAAAAGTGAAACTTGTACTTACTTCAAAGATGCACTAGAGGTAAGTTGTTGCCATGTTACAGAACAGAAGCTTAAAAAGAATCAGCTTTTATTAAACTGTAAGTGATGGGTTCCTCACTTATGGTAAGCAAAAAATGCTTTTAAAGCAAAAACCTTTTTCAGTGGTAATAATGCTGATGTCAAAATACAAAATAAAGTGAGTACATCTTTCTTTCTTTCTTTCTTTCTTTCTTTCTTTCTTTCTTTCTTTCTTTCTTTCTTTCTTT